TTCCTACCGTATACTCTGCTGAGCCTTCTTATCGTACCCCTTCTGCACCTCGCATACAACGCAATCCGTCCGAATGGCGTACTCTTGATGACAGGCCCATATGTTTTAACTGTCGACGCGTTGGTCATATCGCTCGTCACTGCCGCAGCCGCTGGGCTCCACCGTCCCATTATGCACCTCAGTATCACACCACTTCTTCTCGCCAGTCGTCCCCACCACTTTCTCCATCAACGCCGACCACATTTTCCGCTCCTACAGCACCTCTGAGCAGACCTCACTACGACCGGTCACCGTCCCCTGCTCGTCGTTAGTCCCGGTCGCCCCCACAACGCCGTGCTGCCTCCGCGACTTATTCGCAGCATCTCCGACCGGAAAACTAAACCGTGCAGCTTCTGGAGGTGGAGCTGCGTTGATGACCTTCGTAAGAAATCCTCGATTAACGTTAACAACGAACCAGAACCTTTTGGACGTTACTGTCGACAATGTTCGTGTCAGCGCATTGATAGATACTGGCACGCATGTGTCCATTATGAGTGCTAACCTTCGCCGCCGACTTAGAAAAGTTGTCACGCCCGCCCTCAACCGAGCTGTACGAGTCGCCGATGGAAAAACTGCCGCAATTCTTGGCATGTGCTCTGCGCGAGTGTCTATTGGGGAAAGAAGCACTGTCGTTCCTTTCGCCGTTATCGAACATTGCACTCATGAACTCATACTCGGTATGGATTTTCTAGCCACGCACTCTGCCCTCATAGACTGTTCAGCTGGCTCTCTCCATCTCGATTTACCCCTCTTTTCCGACCCGACCAGCCCACCGCAAACCAGCCTCTGCTGCATTGATTTCACGCGCCTCCCTCCTAACTCTGTCACACATGTCGACTTATCCTCCACGCCGCCAGTACCTGATGGTGATTACATGGTGGCCCCGATTCCTGCAGTGATGCTTACGCATGGGGTTGCTGTGCCGCATATGATTCCAATGATTAAGAGAAACCGCACCTTCCTTCCACTAGTCAACCTTTCACTCACCACCCAAGTTCTGTCACAGGGTATCTCCCTGGCCAAAATTACTGCTCTCCAAGATGACCATGTCGAGCCCTTCAGAGTTGACGATTGCTGCAGCTCAGTCAGTGGTTCCACTCCATCACGTTCTTGGGGCGCCGACATCGAGCGAACGGTGTCATCGGACCTCACGTCTGAGCAAGCTGCAGCGCTTTGCCACGTTCTTGAGGGCTATCGTAACATTTTCGACTTTGCCAGCAACTCTTTGGGCCAAACGACCATTGTCACCCATCGCATAAATACTGGCCATGCAACCCCCATTCACCGACGCCCCAACCGTGTGTCGGCGTCGGAGCGTGCAATATTACAACATGAAGTCGGCAGTCGGCAAAATGCTTGCGAAAACATTATTGAGCCTTCATGCAGCCCCTGGGCTTCTCCAGTCGTCCTTGTTAAAAAGAAAGATGGAACATGGCGCTTTTGTGTCGATTACCGTCACCTTAACAAAATTACCAAAAAAGAAGTTTATCCACCTTGCATCGACGACGTCCTCGACTGCCTGTACGGTGCCACTTGTTTTTCAACTATTGACCTTCGGTCAGGGTACTGGCAGATAGCCGTCGACGAGATGGACCGCGAGAAGACCGCATTCATCACTCCTGATGGTCTTTATCAGTTTAAGGTGAAGCCCTTTGGACTCTGCAATGCACCAGCCACATTTGAAAGAATGATGGACTCATTGCTCCAAAGGCTGAAATGGTCCACCTGCTTGTGTTACCTTGACGATGTTATTGTCTTTTCGCCCACATTCGACTCGCATTTTGATCGTTTGTCAGCTATTCAGGTCGTTTTTCGTGGAGCCGGACTCCAGCTTATTGCCTCCAAATGCCGCTTCGCTCGTCGTCAAATTTCCGTGCTCGGTCACCTTGTCGATGCTCAAGGCGTGCGTCCAGACCCAGAGAAAATTCGCGCAGTCATGAACTTTCCCGTTCCGAAGACCACAAAGGATGTCCGCAGTTTTTTGGGGTTGTGCTCATATTTCAGACACTTTGTTAAGAACTTTGCGATCATTGCACGCCCACTCACAGACCTCTTGAAGAAAGACGCCTCGTTTACCTGGGGCCATGACCAAGCGTCATCGTTTTCGCAACTTACGACATTGCTTACAACGCCACCAATCTTGGCTCACTTTGATCCATTAGCCCCAACCGAGGTTCACACGGACGCCAGTGGACACGGCATAGGAGCTGTGCTATTGCAGCAACAACGCAGACACGAGCGTGTTATAGCCTTCACAAGTCGACTGCTATCTCCAGCCGAGCGCAACTATTCCATCACGGAGCGCGAGTGCCTCGCCCTTGTATGGGCAGTCGCCAAGTTTCGCCCATACCTGTACGGGCGCTCATTCCGTGTTGTCACGGATCATCACGCGCTCTGCTGGCTAGCCTCCCTGAAGGACCCCACGGGACGTCTCGCTCGTTGGGCTCTACGCCTTCAAGAGTACACGTTCTCTGTAATGTACAAAACAGGGCGATTACATCAGGATGCGGATTGTTTATCCCGCCACCCTGTTGACAAAGCAACCGATACTGACGCTATCACGGACGTTTTTTCCGTGTCGCAGCTGTTAAACATTGGCGAAGAGCAACGTCGGGATGCTTCTCTACGAGCCATCGTTGACAAACTAAAGTCAACGCCTCGCGACCCGTCCCTACGAATGTTTTTGGTGAAAGACGGGATCCTATATCGCCACAACCTTGATTCCTTCGGATCATACTTACTTCCTGTCATCCCAGCGCACCTGCGTTCCACTGTCCTGCATCAACTCCATGACGCTCCCATAACGGGCCATTTGGGCGTTTCTCGCACGTATGATCGAGTACGACGTCGGTTTTTTTGGCCTGGACTTGCCCGCTCTGTTCGACGCTATGTCGCCGCTTGTGAGCCCTGTCAGCGTCGCAAAACGCCGTCTGCCCTCCCAGCCGGCTACCTTCAGCCGATCGACGTTCCCAACGAGCCTTTCTTTCGAGTTGGTCTCGACCTGTTGGGCCCTTTTCCACTCTCCACAGCCGGAAATAAATGGATTGCTGTTGCCACGGACTACGTGACGCGGTACGCAATCACACGAGCACTCCCGACCAGCTGCGCTACCGACGCTGCGGACTTTCTGCTGTACGACATAATATTAGTGCACGGTGCTCCCCGTCAACTTCTCACCGACCGTGGCCGCACGTTCTTATCAGCTGTCGTTCACGAAATCCTGAGGTCTTGTCATACCAAGCACAACTTTACTACGTCGTACCATCCCCAGTCAAATGGTCTCACGGAGCGCCTTAACAGGACCCTAACCGATATGCTTGCCAAATACGTTGCGCCAGACCACCACGATTGGGACATTCATTTGCCGTATGTGACGTTTGCCTACAATTCATCTCGTCACAACACTGCCGGATATTCGCCCTTCTATCTACTATATGGCCGGGACCCAACTCTACCTTTAGACACGTTGCTACCTGCGGCCACTGAATATGCTGGTGAAGCCATTGCCCGCGCCGACCACGCGCGCCAAGTCGCCCGTAACCGTCTACAGGCTTCACAGGCGCGCCAACAACAGCTCTACAATTCTCACCATAGGGACGTGCACTTTTCTCCGGGTTCTCTCGTGCTCCTCTGGTCACCTACTCGGCGTGTGGGACTGTCGGAAAAACTGTTGTCGCCCTACACTGGACCATTCCGTATCGTTCGCCAAGTGACAGACGTCACGTACGAGATTGTTCCAACCGATCCAACAAAGTCATCATCAGCTCTGAGCGACACCGTTCACGTGGCTCGGCTAAAGCCCTATTACCCCGCTTCGACATCATCTGCGTAAATTTAGCACCGGGACGGTGCTTCTACCGCCGGGGGTTATGATACAAAACAGCCGCTAAACACGGCTGCATGAAAGAGGATGACGAAATGGGTTTTTTGTTGGATGCTGGTCTGACGCCATCTTGCTCGTCGGGTTCTCTGCGCTGTAAATAGATCGTTAAACAAGTTACTCACAACAACAGTTTCTGTGTGATGCGCATAATCGAGTAGGTCTGAGAAGTAGGCGGCAAAAATCAGCAATGGTGTTTTCTTTTGTTAGACCCCCTCCCTTTATGCGTTCATTTATATTTGTTTAACATTCATAAATTTAAATGTTGTTAAGCACCGCGCAACCCATGATTCGATTCTTCGACACGCGAGGCTTTACGCTCAAGATGTTTGGCGCAAGTTCAGCCCTTGAAAAATGTTGTTTTGGTTATAGCGCGGTACCGCTTATAGTGTGGATATTCGCGACTTACGTTAGAAACGGTCTATATGGTACATTGTACGTATGCTGTAATGACCAGTCAAGCTTTTCCTTCTCATAAATCTGAATTCATGTGTGATTACTTTGAATGAGAAGATGTACGGGGGTAGCAGCCATCTCGCCAAAATGCCATCTCAAACCGATACATCGTAAGAAACAACGCGGGCACACGGGACAAGAAATACGACAATACGACAGAACTTGCTGTTAACTGATAATTGCTGTGTCTATCTACACATGGGGCCTGGAAAAGACAAAACATCATTGCTGCAAAGAGAAATAAAAAATAGCTCCGCAAATTTGTAGGAATGTGGTTGTTCACTTTCATTCTAGTGAAGCGGGTGCAAAATATGGGTGCAGGCTTATTATGATAATAATAATAATATCTGCGGTTTAACGTTATGATATGATTCTGAGAGATGCCGTAGTGGAAAGCTTCGGAAATTTAGACCATCTGGTGTTCTTTGACATGCATTCGCATCGCAAAGCACACGGGTCTCTACCGTTTTGCCTTGATCGAAATGGAACCGCCAGAGCTGGGATCGACCTGCGACCTTCGGGTCAGCAGCTGAGCATTCTAGCCACTTTATCCACCAAGACAAACTGGGTGCAGGATAATCTCAATTTCATTGCCAAAATTGAGAGTACAGTGGTGATACATTACTGCTTTATCCTGGGTGAGCTCCTTGTAAGAGGCCTGCCACTGTTCCAGTCTGTCCAAAATGTCAGCATGCCTCTTCAGTTGGTTGGTCTCCACACGGCCCATGCTTCCTGCAGCTGACAATCGAAACACGCTTGCTCACAATTACTGTCACAATGAGAAGTTGTGCCACTTAATTTAAATTTGTGGGTCCGGGTTGGTGATAGCCTTTCCTAACGTACACTCAAAACCTCATGACATTCACATCTGCCACAAAAATACATCGTTATATTCAAAAATTCAATATAAATGAATATTCGGAGAGCTGTACCTTAGACAAAATTATTCTTCACTCACTTTGTTATAACCGATAATTTGTTATGTCCATGTTCGTTATACTGAAGTTTGAGTGTAACATGATGAGACTGATGTGCAGTAGAGCCATCGAAGCAAGTGTGTTAGATTCAACAAAGACATATTCATTCTGTCTTGTCTAAAACATACAGTGTGCAGTGTGGGTATGCAGGCTTAGTGTTACAGAAAGTAGACTAAAGGTGCCTTCAGATGTTACTCAAGTAATTAGAGACCAGCTGTGGCATTATTATTGAATTGATACTCCATCGTCCAGGCCTTCTTTTAAGTGAAACGGTGACAATTACGGTAGTGCTTGGGTGAATATATGTTAAGACAAAGGACATCTCAGCATAGTCAATATTGTGGCAGGATCTGTTGATACGACTTGCTAGCTCACAGAACTATGTGCATAGAGTGCCGATGCTGTCAAGTGATCTGCCTGAATTTCTTCTGAAGCTACTCCAAAGACTGCTCAATGCATATACCTGCCAGAAAAAATGGCTATCTGTGCTTCTAAAATAAGGGTACTATAGACTTGTAGTAGGTAGTGTGTGCTGGTATCAACAAGCTATAGCAGCTTCTAACAAACCACAAATGAAAATGTGCCCAAATACTAAAAAGAAACTGAACACTCTGATTCTGCACTGCACACAATAAAATTACTAATTTGTCGCATGAGCAAGCCTACTAGAAATAACTAGGCTTGTGCAAATAGTAGATTTTAGGTTCGAAGCCAATTTGATGCAAATAGTGATTTAGCAAAATATTTTCAAATCAAATACGAATATCACATATTATCAAAAAGTGAGCATACCTTACTTGTCATTACATGACTAACCTGCTCAACATTTTTTAAAAATGAAACAATGCACATGCATGTTTCACTCATTTTGGTCTAAAGAAAGTGGAAGCTACTTTGAATAGTAGCAGGATTTCACTCTCGGTAGAATGCAAGTGGTAATCTATAAGGTATAGGTTTTAAAATTTATACAAGCCACTTCAACAAGCTTTTAAACTTAAAGGAGTCCTGCAACACTTTTTTAAGTAGCCACAGAATGGATTCACAAAAAGAGCTTATTGCCTCACGAATTCACTGCCGCAAACATTTTTAGAATACAGGCAGTATGAGCAAATTTACGAAAATTTGTCGTACACTGCAGTTGCATGCCGTCTTCTCTCGTCCCAATGAAAGTGCTGGAAACTAAGTAGAACAGGACCGCAGGGGGCAAGAAATACGTCACGTGCACCACATGACCTTGAGAACGCTTTCTATCAACTAGTTTTTTTTTTTTTCGAATGCGTGGCTTTTCAGAGCAATCGTGCACGCACGTGCGGACAAGTGACGGCCTCCCGCCGCAGCCCCAGGAATGAGTGAGCCTGGATTGTTCAAATCAGTCAATGGCTGGTACTTGGCCTAGGACGCAGTGATCTTGGGCCTGTAGTGTCATTTGTTGAGAGATGAGAAAGCGATTTCTAGCTGACTTTGAGAATTCATTGTATATTCAAGGCCGCAAACTGCGCTATAATATTTGGCTCGCGTGTTCTCGGGAGCCACGATAGGCAGCGTTTTGTTTTCTGACCATGCTCAAAGAGTAGCAGGGCCTCTTTAAACTACGTTCAATTGATGCGACGGTAATACAATAAACTCCTATTAAACGAAACTCTCTTAAATGAACTTGCTGCTTAAATAGAACAACTGCATGTAATATATTTGGTTTCGTACTTGAATATTATACCCCTCTTTATCTCTCAATAAACAAAGCTCCTCTTAAAGGAAACACATTTTCCTGGTTCCTTCAGGTTTCATTTAAAGGAGTCTACTGTATTTCATTTAGCCTTGAAGTAGAACTTCGTAGCAGCGCGAATTTTCCCTAAAAAGGCATATACATAATACAGCACCCATCAGCTACAGTGAAACGACCTTTACAGATTGATTGATATGTGGGGCTTAACGTCCCAAAACCACCATATGATCATGAGAGACGCAGTAGTGGTGGGATCCGGAAATTTCGACCACCTGGGGTTCCTTAACGTGCAACCAAATCTGAGCACACGGGCCTAGAGCCTTTTTGCCTCCATCAGAAATGCAGCCGCTGCAGCCGGGATTTGATCCCGCGACTTGCGGGTTCGCAGCCGAATACTTTAGCCACTAGGCCACCGCGGCGGGCACCACCTTTACAGGGGGTTTACAGGCGTACTTGTACGTATACAACCATTCATTCATAGCGAATACTTCAACATTTACAATAACTTAAATTCAAATCGAAGCAAAGAGAAATATTGTGATATTCATTGAATATTCGAGGTGCTCGAACAGTCGTACAAGCCTAAAAATTACAAACGCCTTTACAATTACATTCTCGGGCACATTGTTGTAGAGGTTGAGTGCACTAATCACAACAAAGCAAAGGCAAAAGGATTTATTCCACCAGTAATTGCACTAAAGACATATTCATTAAAGAGGCATTTGACTGCAATTGCCTTCACTCACCTGGCGATGGTTCTGGTGACCGAGTGCCATTATCTGCTTCTTGAACAAGCGTCTCGATGTCCTTAGTCTTATTTTCTACAGGCTGTGGCTGCTCCTGCTTCTGCAGGGCCATTCCTTTCGTGGTGGCTTGTTCTGCATGTATTAAGGCATTCGATGAGTCAGTGACGCCGCTACATGATTACGGGCCAAAGCATACACACAGGTTCAGTGCTTAGGGAATCTGGCATTAATGCGATTTGCTACTTTTCTCCCTACAGCTCAGTGTTCTAAATGCTGGCCACATGATTACACTCAAGCCTCATTAAAACGAGGTCATATTTGCCAAAAAAATAATTCCTTATATCCCAAAATTCCTTGCAAAGTATATTCATAACAGTGTATCTATGGCAAAACTATTAACTTACATCGATGTAACAGATAATTTGTTATATCCATGTTTATTATAGAGAGCTGAGAGCTTTAAGTGTAATCGCGTCAAGAAAAAATGTATCTGTGCATCTCCTAATTGTCAGCAGGCCATATTGAATGAAGGAGCAAGACTCTGTCCTCTCTGTCCCCGAAATGCAAGCCGTAATCATCGGCAGCATAAGTTATGGCACGAGACCCCTCAATGTCTGCTTGGCAGAACCAGTGAATGTAAACTTTCTCAGCCAAAAGCGAACAAAGGTTGATATCAGCCTTTGCGAGCGAGATTTCACACAATGCCTCCTCCATCTCAGCCATCATATGTAATGCCTGGGAGAAAGGATGCTGAGAACCACAAAATAAATTAACTACAGCAGGTCAAACTAACTCCCACAGCTTGGACAACCCTTCATGAAAATGGCTACACCCCGTTGGTGTGAGTTAAAGGGACACTAAAGTAAAATAACAATTTAAATCACAGCGAAATCTCAATGTATGACAACATCTAAAACGACAATATTATCAACAACAGTGCCCTACTTACCGAGAAATTAAAGTAAATGCACAAGAACACAAGCGCTGCAGTATGGCATTTTAAAAATGATCCTGATGACAACAGACAGACTGGCTACAATTAATCATAGTAATTGAACTAATTGCACTAAATAAAGAACGTTCCGTGCATTAAGTAATGCAATAAAATGCTTCTTGTTTGTTTCTGTTTGATTCATGGAAAAAAGAACCACCGGACGTTACTATGGGGAATGGCGCGAGTAGTTCAAAAATTCTATTTTCGTGGTGTTACACGGGATAGGTGGTGCCATCTAGCAGGGTGCAGTTAAAACAAAATCGTCTGCAATCTCAAAGCCAATGGCGGGAAATCGATCAATGGCAGTTACTGCTGCTGTGGCTCTCACTGCTTTCTGTCTGCTGCTACTAGCGTAGTAAAGCCGGGCTACGTTGTCCACGGCAACAGTGACGCGAGACGGTCCGGTCGGTCCGCTTCTTGAGGCGTGCAATTTGAAGTGTGCTAACCCAACGCGGAGCACTAGAACGTGAATTTATTTCAAAATAGGCCCTTCCTTGGCACAAAAGTAACACTACGAGGTTTCCGGACTGCCATTTAAACAATCAACGTCGACTTAATAGTTGACTTTAGTTTCCCTTTAAGATGGCCAAGGCTGCGCTTGTGGAGGAATACAGCATGTGTCATTGGCTGCTATATTCAATCTAGACCTCTTTAGGTTTAACTGTTTTATTTGAAAAAATTCAAATTAATCTGGTTCTACTGTGCTAGAGGTCACAGTTTCAACTCTAGCAGAAGTAAGTTTTTAGTTTTGTTCTTTAATTTAAACTAAAAAATGTTTGTAGGCATTATTACTTCTTCATTTCCGTTTTCTTTTACGTTGGGGGTATTCGTGGACAACTTGGATGGACAACTTGTGCCCGCTTTCTGCCCGTAAGCAGACATTGAATGCCCATTAATTAAGGAACACCACAACAAAAGCCTCACCAACATCGGCAACGACGGAGTGAACCAGGGTGTTGAGCTGGGTAGCAAAGTCCAGAACTCGACGGAGATCTTCGCGCGAGACAGCGGTGAGCGCGCCAAAGGCTGCCACCTGCCGGGCCATGCGGTCCAGCAGGCCTCGGTGGTCCTCAACAGGTGTCGCGAGAAACGAGGCAAACGCGCACTCCCCGAGGGCCTTTTGCACCGATGCTAGCGTGGACTCCATCTCCTTGCACTGACAGCGCAGGGACTCCGCTCGCTGCTTTGACTCTGCCTCCCTGCACAGTAGTAAGTGGCTGAGCTATCGGCAGATCGTCAAAAGAGTACAAACTGGCACGCCTGCTATCTTGTACACACCCGCACTGGTTAAGTACAGCCTCCAAATCTTGAACTATTGTGCGTGAGCGGCAAACTTTTTTAGTGTCAATGTCATACGACGGAGCCAAGTTGCAAACAGGGCGAGAGTAAGCGCGCTCAGCTAGGCCCATTGTATGCTTGGCTGTTCGTACGTGAGAATGTTGTCCTGCATTAACACACTTCAGACGAACAGGCTGCGTGTCTTTCTCGAACCTTATATTCCAAAGATCAGCAAGCAGCCAGGAAAATGAAATCCGTAGCTATGTTACACGCCCCTGCACATGAGATAAGCTGACAAATTTGGACTGTCTGAAGTGAGCTAATGCAGGGTGACGTTTTTACAAAAGAACAGCCAAGCAGATGATGGGCCCAGCTGAGCATGCTTAGTGAGCATGTAGAGCTCTTGCCTTGTTTGCAACTTGGCTCCGTCGTGTGGCGCTTGCGCACGGTAGTTAAAGATTTGGGCGGCTGTACATCAGCCAAACTTTCTGCATGCGGGTGCGCAGTTGTGAGTGTGCTCATCTGTGTTCTTTTCATCAATTGAAATACGTTTCAAACTAGGTCAACAGCAAATTCTTTCGGAGCAACACGCAGGCTTGCAAAAGATTGGTTCCTACCATTGCACACTCCTAAGGAGAATTCCCACTTACAAGCAAAACTTTAGCACGTGCGGTGAAGTTACATGTAGGAGAATTTCAGTACGTGCGAAACTTCACTAATTTTCATAGTTCTCAGTAGGAGAACTTCACAAATTAAGCTGCTAATTAAGTGCACCACATGCAGTGAAGTAAGGAGATCTTCCCCTTCAACCACAAAAGTGGACTCGCTTGTGTGGCGTGGCGCATGGCGATAGAGCGTGCGGTGAAGTTAACCGAGATAAAACCAGTAATCATAGTTAAGAAGAGTCTAGAATTGAGCTTGTGAATTTCATTCTCTGAGCACTTGTTACACATCCCAGGAGCATGTCACACACGTGTAAACATGAATTTATTGGATTTTGAGCCTCACTATTATAAAACTAGTGACAGCATTCACAAATCAAAACTAACTTACAAGGATGGTACCACTGACCTTTTCTTTTCTTCCTCTTCCTGTTGCTTTTGTTTCAGCTCAGCTTCCTTAATTTTGTTCCTCAGATGCTGTAAGGAGAACGAATCAGTGCGCTGATGAATGTAAAAAAAGAAAGGCAGCTGTGTGATGTGGGCGTAGAAACTTACCCGCATGTGGCTCAGGTGATGCTCCTGTGCTTTTTGGCTTTTCTCTGCAAGTTCTCGAAGCCTAGAGAAAGCACGAAAGTCATCACGTGTGGAGGATCGTGTAAACAGTTCAAATAGTTTTGTAAACCTGCCGCAAAGTATATCTCATCTTATGATGTATACTTTGACTGAGTGAAAGGGGAACCAGTACCCTACTTAGTAAAACTAAAGGGTACAATCACACAAGTTTTGTTAAAGTGTGCCTCTCCTTTCGCAAAGTATAACTTGCTATGGTGACTTGCACACTCGTTGAGAGAACCTTTTCTAAATGATTGCACAAGGTCAGAATGTCCTCTTTACATGTTAGATAAATTTTATCAACGCATGAAGTCAAGAACCACAACATGTTGTTCCCATGTCATATCAGCTGCGGCAATTTTCTTAACTGTGAACACACAGAAAAGCAAGGCTAAACTTCGAAAATAGTATGTTGCCCTTCACTATGTCCCCTGTCCGAGCATCGGTTGGTGTGAAAAAAAAAGGAGCCCAATCACATCTTCATGCCCTTTCTCACAAAGTAATTTTCAAACCTAGTCGTCAAAATACTGTTAATATCAACATTAGTCCAGTGTGCATCCAAACAGTAGGAACATCAGCTGTTGCATATGCTTGTATGGGCAACATCACAGTAGAAGCTGGATTGCTCGGCCATCCGCAAACCGTTCATGTCAGCTAAAAAAACGCTATTCACATAAAGAAGTCATCGTGAGGTAAGAAGAGTCTGTACCCTTCAAGGTATTCTTGGTTGAGCTTGTCTAACTGCATTTGGTACTCTAGTGTCTGATTCTGCTCAATCAGCATCAGGTGCTTTTTGGCCTGCTCATCCCAACGGTGGTTGTGCTGCTCGTAGTCCGCGATCCGCTTGCGCAAGGCCTCCTGCAATGTTTTGTGTGCCATGCACGATGAACACAACCTTACCAATGCGTCGAAATGTGAGGGTGACAGAATGCTTGACATTTAAACAAAAAAATCCAATATCCCAAAAGGATCCTTCATACACAATTTAAATCAATAGAATTCATTCACATAACACATGTAAAACAAGACTACTCACTTATTAGTGAAATATCATACATGTGAAATTATGAAATACGAACAACCTAGAAAGTTTTCATGCCAGCGGGGAGTACTTAGGTAAAGGAACACATGGATTCACACAGGCAAACAAAACAGAAAGATTGCACTGTTTCTCAGGTTACAAAACATTTATATTATACGCAGCCACGTTTATGCAGCTAATATTAACAATAATTGATGAGGTTTACCACCCCAAAACCACCTTAGAATTATGAGAGACGCGTTAGAGGGGAACTTCGGAAATTCTGAACACCTGGAGTTCTTCAGTGCGCACCTAAATCTAAGCACACAGGCCTCAAACGTTTTCACCCCCATCGTGGCCGCCGTACATTTACAAAGCTATGTTTGTTCTGTAATTTTTCTTGAACTTAATGGGTAAATTTTAAAACTGCTGCAATGGTAACACATAACACAAAGTTAAAATCCTGATGCTACAGCAATAAATGCATGCAGTAGAAAAGAGCCAATGCATACTCTCGTATTCAACAGCACAATCACATATGCTTTGCAGCTTTCAAGGTGATCACACTAGGACCATGTAACCGTGCTCATTAATACCGACCTCAAAATAAATTTGCTCTGGATGAATAAGAGCGATTCCACACGCAAACATCACCTTGAGCACAGCATGATGATGACATGTTATGTTTTATGGTGCAAGGGCCAGTTGTAGCAAAAAATAGCCAAGAAAAAGTAAACTTTGTAAGCAATCTTACAAACTGGTTGGCGTGAAATCAAACAGGACAATAAAGCAACAACAATGCACGGGACAGTGCTGTATTGTGCACCTGTGTCCCTTCCTTGTCCAGTTCGATATCATGCAATCCAAGTTGTACTATTATAATATTATTAACCATATAGCCCACCAACATATTTTGTTAATCTGTAGGCAATAATACTAGCAGTGACATATCGTGTAACAGATCATATGAGCAGTGATAAGAGTTATGCGGCACAGCATAACAGACTGCACATGAACGGGTGGGCAGAGCCAATTGATTACCCTGACGCTGTTGAGTCTTTCTTCCTCGTACTTGTGTATGGAGACGTCGAAGTCCGAGCCGCTCACGTACGCGTACAGGTCTTGCGCGTCGTCGCTTTTCGGCGATGGCACGTCCGAGCCCGACTCTCCAGAACTTTGGTCGCTCGGAGAGACGGGCGGCGATCCAGGTCTGTCAGTGGCATCTCTCTGCTCAGTGTCGTATTGAAACAGGGTCGGCAACAGCTTTGCGTCGAAGTGCAGCACGGGCTTGCTTGGAAGAACATCCTGCGACGTCAAAGTACCACGAAATGTCACAAGAAAGGGGGAAAATTTCTAAGGGCTCGTTTTCTCGTTTTGATACGACCTTAGTGAACACCAGCCGGTATAGGGGACGTATAGATACAGGGGACCTTACCTGTTAGGGAAGGTATAGGGGACGTACAGAGATGCGAAGAACATAACGTGGACGAAAAGACAGCTGGACGAGAGGACGACTGCCACCGTGGTTCAATTGGCAAAGCATCGGGCGCGCTATCTAAAGGTTGCCGGTTCAGTCCCCGTTGACGGCCGGGGGTCCATTCCTCCACTTTACTTTCTTCACGTCTATATCATAACGAGTAAAATACAGTTTCACACAGTACATTATGGTTGTCACACAGGATGTCAAAACGTCCCCCGGCATGAAATACATGGCAAAGGCAAGCGCTTTTTTACGGTTTCGGTACTTCGCGCAGGAATGAGAAAACACGAATGACGCGCTATTTATTCGCCAAGCGTGCATCACAAAGTGTCCGCTTCGCGATGCTTACCTTCCAACAATTTTGCGAAGGCCAGTGATTTTCGTAAACTAGTTTTCCTTTGCTGCTTTCTCGAAGCGCAGCAAGGACTGTCTCCGTGGAAGCCTCATTTCGTTTACCGTATGAAACGTAATCCATTTCAAATCGGGATTCTACGCAGACGCGGATTTGTCATTTGAGCGCGAGCACCGTGCAGCCCGGTTGAGAGCTCGCAGATGTTCACACCCAAAATCGGATACAATTGACTTTGGAGATACATAAAATCAAGTCAACAAGCCGGTTTCGGTTTCGATTTTTATGCGGGAGGGGGCAAACGGGAGCAGGCCAATTGCTTTTTTTTCTCATCAACCACTGCACCGAAATTGATGTTGTGCTTTGCTGCAATGACGGTTGCTGCTGAACGCAGATCTTTCGTCAGGTTTAAAGCTATGCGTCATCTGAAGTGGGAAAAAATTTCCAAACTCTTACTGCATCCCGAATCGACTGCTGTGAAAATTTCTCAAATCAGTCAAGAGCACAGTTAATCGAGATTTCTCACATGTTTTAAGCGTATTTTTTTCTTCATTTCCTCCCAAAGAGCGCTTCAGAAGTTGCGCAGGGAGAGGTACGTGTCTTGAGGGAAAGAAATGAGGTCAGCACGCGTCTGTACGCACGATGCATGAAACGCCATCACTCTGACTCCTGCTCGTGCTAGTTTGGCTACTGTGTAATGTTAGCAGAGATATACAATAAAAAAAAAATATGCGGTATATCATCGAGAAAAGTAGAGAGGGGTACTCTTAGTCCGGGATCCCATTGGCGCGGGCCGCTGTCCCTACGTTTCATGTGGGACTCGACCTTGTGTTTTCTGTCACGTTCCGTGGGTCTTCAGATCCTAGTTTGAGCTGGACAGAATGAAAGAACTGCCTCATACCGTTCTATGTGAGCAGAGCATGGCAGCGGCAGGTGGCGACGCACTATTGAAACGCCACTTGATCATTTTTACTCACAACATTCGGCGAGTCGGGAATAGGCAAAAAATACAGTTAAATATAAACCCTTTTTTGCACTCCCCGTCTCTTTTAGAATCGATATGTACCGAGTAACTCAGCTCTCTGTGAAGCTTAATGCACTTTGCCACCATACCTGCACCATGACTTGTGCTCGCTTCGCCCCTGAATTCATTCGTCTTTTGTGCTTTTAGCACAGCGCTGCAAAGAAACTCTCCTGATTACGGGCCCATCAAAGGGACTGGCAACCGACTTTTCTTGACCCAGATTTTTACGGCGCAATGAAAAAAATACCCCTTAGTGGTTGAACCTTCAGCGGCCTCATTCAAAAAGCGATTGGAAAAATTGTTTCAGCTCAAAATTAAAACACTAAAAAATATGAATGCCTTCACCAGCAAGAAAACTGATAGTGATTAATATAGGCCTCATCGCAAAAGCGTCCCATCTACTGTGCCCATGGTCTTCAGCGATTTATATATAATTTGAAAGTATCTAATTGTATTAGGCAAAACATAATCGAATTCAACACAACAAAATATGAGTTATTACTGATGAAAAGTGTGTCAGGCATGTGCACACGTTCTAAGGGCCAAGTATAATCGTGGCACCATTTATGTTATTGTAAGACATGGGGCACTGCCATTCAATGGTCAATGGAGCTAGGTATATATAGATGGATACCATCAGTGTCCGATTTATCATAGCACGACCAAAATCAAATTTTTATTTGGTCTAATGCCTTGCTTGCCTCAATTAATCGAACCCTCTTTCGTTGAACGCCGCCTATACAGTATTGTGGTGTCTCAGGTCTACTATACGCTTCACCACCGTTCACTAACATTGTTCGCCAAACTCCCTTCTGTGGCCTTTGTCACCGATATATCATGTGCGCCGGTTGATTTATTTGTGTTTCAAGTGCGGAGAACTTTAGGGACCCGGACTGTCAGTCGTGGTCGCCCGAAGCAATTAACGCAGGAAAAATGCGCCACGCATGTCTGAGCATGTTGAGCGCGATTGCGCCAGTTTTCGTAGAATAAAGTTGAGCATTTGGCTAGTTGGTGCAGCCTAATTTAATGTTTCACAGCACATAAAACGAGGACGAACAAAGAAAGAATAACCTCAGTGCTCTTCGTGCCCTCCATTTGTTCGGCGTCGTTTTATGCGCTGTGTGAAACGATCAGTTGGAGAAGTTGTGCATCAAAACGGCAAACAGAGTTCAAGAAGATACGTCTAAACATATCTAGCCTCCAATTGTTGGATAATCCAATGAGGTGCGAGCGTTCAACAAAAGACAAACATTAGCACAAACAAAGACTGGCGGTATTTGATCTGCAAGGAGTTTCGAAGCAGCGCCATACCGGGTTCTGTCCAGATTCAATGCGTGGAGTTCACAACATGGGGATCCTTAAGATGATGATGATATGTGAGGTTTAACGTTCCAAACAACCATATAATTAGGAGAGACGCCGTAGTGGAGGCTTCCGGAAATTTCGGCCACCTGGGGTTCTTTAACGTGCACCCAAATCTGAGCACACGGACCTACAACATTTTCGCCTCCGTCGAAAATGCAGCCGCCGCAGCCATGGGCTCCGTAAGGGCCCACAGAGTGAATTTAAAGTCTTTCCACTGCAAAAACTGAAGGAATATTTTTTTACTGTGTCTCGTTTTGCGTCACGCAGCGTCTCGCAAAATGAGACATCTGGAGCGTTTTTAAAATTTATTCGTAACAGAATGCCTGGAGCGGTGGCAACAAGGCAATATTTATGTAGCACGTACCTCGTATTCCAAGGTAAGTTTCTGCTCTGATGTTCAATTGTAAAAAGTTAAATAGAAATTAATATTCCGTATTCTAAAGTTTTGGTCGCATTTTACTCCCCACCCCACCCCCTACACTACAACAATGCTAACAATACTACCGATCTTATACTCGTTGCAATATTATCAGTGCCATTAATTCGAGTTTCTCACATCATGTTAAAAAAGTGGCAGATCCCTCGTACAGTGGGAATCGATGATATGCGACGCACGAATGAGGAAGTGTGATAGGTCACTTTAAAATCAGCACAACTTTAAGAGGCAGAGGTAAGTTATGCCGTACATTACTTCCATGGCATGATTATCATGTTTAGACGTTTCATTAACGTTCGTCAACTATTAACGTCACCTGATACCAACTTTGGTATATATGGAGCTAGCGAAACGGCCGCAAGCGTGCTATGAGCGTAGCTTGTAGTCATGTTTTACATGGAATCCATGTCATGATTCTTATATTTGGACATGCCATTTACATTCATTGTCCATTCACGTCACGTAATACTAAATTTGGTATATGTGAGACAAGTAGAACGTCCGTGAGAACGCTATGAGCGTAGCATGTAGGGATGTTTTACATGAAACGAATATTACGATTATCAGGTTTGGACGTGTCATTTACCTTCGTCGTCTATTCACTTCCCGTGATACCGAATTCGGTACATGTGGAGCTAGCGCAACGGCAGCGAGCGCGTCATGAAGGGCCCAATATACTCCGACGCAACGTTGACGCACGCGCACACTGGGCGCAGTGACGCCACGCTAGCAAAACCCGAGCACTCTAGTGTGTGACGCCAGGCGCGATCGGCGCGACCAGCGTCCGTCGGCGCGGCCCGGTGGGAACCAGCGCGAAATGCGACATGCTGCATTTCGCGCCGACGACGTCACGGCGTCTGCCTCTCTTCGTGACGGAGGAACGCCGTGTGCGCTCAAACGCGCATGCGTCAAAGCAACGCAACACGGCGCGAGCCTGCGAGTAGAGGGCATGCAGATCCGCAATGAAGGTCAGTGGGTAGATCCACTGATCTCTACTAGGGCGATACCGGCGCCTGGCATGGCATCGCCGGCGGAACGCGATAAAACGAACGTCGAAGTGTGTTGGCGCCTTGAGTGTGGCGTGTATTAATGTGCTTACATGACACGTATATATATATATATATATATATATATATATATATATATATATATATATATATATATATATATATATATATATATATATATATATATATATATATATATATATATATATATATATATATATATATATATATATATATATATATATATATATATATATATTGTTAAGGCGTTTATTAGCCGGCAACGAGCGAGAATATACAATGGCGACAGTCACAGCCAAGCACGGGCTCTCAGCGCGAGCGGCGTCCTTGTTGGGTAGCCCCACTAGAAGGTACTCAAGAGTTCGACCCATTTCATAGTGCGGAGGCTTCGCTACAATTACCCCGGCGTCGAAGAGGGAGCCGCCTGGCGACCTAACAGCTTGTTATTATGAGCGGGTCATAATAAGCCTTCAGGCGCTCCACGTTGACGATGTCTCCCCCACGGCGGCGCATGTCCGAAGATTGTTCAACGGGTTCGATCAGATAGTTGACGGGTGAGGTGCGCTCGATGACACGGTAGGGGCCTTCGTATTTGGGACGTAGTTTGGAAGAGAGGCCAGTGGCAGAGGTCGGGATAGAGAGCCATACAAGCGCACCAGGAAGGAACGTGGGCTCAGAAGTGGTGGAGCCATCACGGATACTCTTCTGCCGCTCTTGCTCTTGCGTCGTAAAAGTCTTGGCAAGCTCGCGACACTCTTCAGCAAGCCTGGCTGTCTCGGAAATAGGTGTACACTCAGATGGATCCGGCGTGTACGGGAGTATCATGTCCATGGTGTGCGACGGGTGCCTTCCGTACAGCAAGTAGAAAGGTGAAAAACCAGTCGTGTTCTGAGGGGCGGTGTTGTAGGCGTAGGTGACGAAGGGCAGTATATTATCCCAATTAGTGTGGTTGGCAGCGACGTACATAGAAAGCATGTCGCCGAGGGTGCGGTTAAAGCGTTCGATGAGGCCATTCGTCTGTGGGTGGTAAGCAGTAGTTTTGCGGTGGACAGAATGGCACTCCGTCAGAATGGCTTCGACGACTTCCGACAAGAAGACACGGCCTCGATCGCCGAGAAGCTCTTGGGGTGGTCCGTGGCGCAGTATAAATCGATGCAGCAGGAAGGACGCAACATCGCGCGCAGCAGCCGCAGGGAGAGCGGCGGTTTCGGCGTATCGCGTTAAATGGTCAACGGCAACGATGGCCCAGCGGTTACCAGCCAACGTCAGAGGAAGTGGTCCATACAAATCGATACCTACGCGCCCAAAGGAACGGTCAGGGCAAAGTAACGGTTGTAGACTGGCGTGCGA